CTTGTTGCTGTGTACTCATCTTGTTGTGTATCAAATAATAATAATAATAATAATAATAATAATAATAATAATAATAATAATAATAGAAGACACATAGTCGCTTTGAGTCTCTCACAGGAGAGCTAAAGCAGAGTAATAATAATAATAACAACAACCACAACAAGAGATAAATAGCTGCGTTGAGTCTCCTGCAGGGGAGTTAAAGCCAACTGTAATAATAATAATAATAATAATAATAATAATAATAATAATATAATAGACAGAGGTCCTCCTGGTCAGTTGCAAGGCCGAACAGGGCATAGGGTTACAGGTTGTGTTGGACGGGGCCGCACTCCCCCTGAAGACGCAGGTTCGCAGTTTGGGTGTGACCCTGGACTCATCGCTGAGCCTGGAACCCCAGGTTTCGGCGGTGACCAGGGGAGCATTCGCACAGTTAAAACTCGTGCGCCAACTGCGCCCGTACCTTGGGAAGTCTGACTTGGCCACGGTAGTCCACGCTCTGGTTACATCCCGTCTAGACTACTGCAACGCTCTCTACGTGGGGTTGCCTTTGAAGACGGCCCGGAAGCTCCAATTAGTCCAACGGGCTGGCAGCCATGATACTAACAGGAGCGGAGCGCAGGGAGCATACAACTCCTCTGCTGCACCAGCTCCACTGGCTGCCGATTTGCTACCGGGCTCAATTCAAAGTGCTGGCGTTGGCCTTTAAAGCCCTAAACGGTTCTGGCCCAACTTACCTATCCGAACGTATCTCGGCCTATCAGCCCACCAGGACCCTAAGATCTTCTGGGGGGGCCTTGCTCTCTATCCCGCCTGCTTCACAGGTGCGGCTGGCGGGGACGAGAGACAGGGCCTTTTCTGTGGTGGCCCCGCGGCTATGGAACGCCCTTCCCATGGAGGTAAGATCAGCCCCCTCATTGATGGTATTCCGGAAAAGACTAAAAACCTGGATGTTCGAGCAGGCGTTCGGTTAACTCAGTGCAATAAGTGTAATGATTGAAGGACTGGCAATTTGGACGACGAAACTGGATCACGATTTTAGTCAAGAGATGAATTGGATTGTTTATTGATATATGTATTGTGGATCGTGTTTTTATGCTTTTAAACTGTATAGTGTTGTTTGTTATAAGTCGTTGTAAACCGCGTTGAGTCGCCGGCTAGGCTGAGAAGCGGCGGTATACAAGTATAGCAAATAAATAAACAAATAAATAAATAAATAGTAGAGAAAGGAAGCAAGGGAAAGGAAGGAAGGGAAAAAGGGAAGGGAAAGGAAGAAAAAAAGGAAAGGTAGGAAAGAAGGAAGGAAGGAAAGAAAACGAAGGAAGAGAAATGAAGGAAGGGGAAAAGGAAGGAAGGGAAAGGAAGTAAAAAGGAAAGAAATAGAAAGGAAGGGAAAGGAAAGGAAGGGAAAAAAGGAAGCAAGGGAAAGGAAGGAAGGGAAAAAGGGAAGGAAGGGAAAGGAAGAAAAAAGGAAGGGAAAGAAAGAAAGAGAAGGGAAGGAAGGGAACGAAAGGAAGGGAAAGGAAAAGAAGGGAAGGGAAAAAAGGAAGGAAGGGAAAGGAAGAAAAAAGGAAAGGAAGGAAAGAAGAAAGGAAAGGAAAAAGGGAAGGAAGGGAAAGGAAGAAAAAAGGAAAGATAGGAAAGAAGAAAGGAAGGAAAGAAAAAGAAGGAAGAGAAATGAAGGAAGGGAAGGAAAGGAAGGGAAAAAAGGAAGCAAGGGAAAGGAAGGAAGGGAAAAAGGGAAGGAAGGGAAAGGAAGAAAAAAGGAAGGGAAAGAAAGAAAGAGAAGGGAAGGAAGGGAACGAAAGGAAGGGAAAGGAAAAGAAGGGAAGGGAAAAAAGGAAGGAAGGGAAAGGAAGAAAAAAGGAAAGGAAGGAAAGAAGAAAGGAAAGGAAAAAGGGAAGGAAGGGAAAGGAAGAAAAAAGGAAAGATAGGAAAGAAGAAAGGAAGGAAAGAAAAAGAAGGAAGAGAAATGAAGGAAGGGAAGGGAAAGGAAGGGAAAAAAGGAAGCAAGGGAAAGGAAGGAAGGGAAAAAGGGAAGGAAGGGAAAGGAAGAAAAAAGGAAAGGTAGGCAAGAAGAAAGAAAGGAAAGAAAAGGAAGGGAAAGAAAGAAAGAGAAGGGAAGGAAGGGACACGAAAGGAAGGGAAAGGAAAAGAAGGGAAGGGAAAAAAGGAAGGAAGGGAAAGGAAGAAAAAAGGAAAGGAAGGAAAGAAGAAAGGAAAGGAAAAAGGGAAGGAAGGGAAAGGAAGAAAAAAGGAAAGATAGGAAAGAAGAAAGGAAGGAAAGAAAAAGAAGGAAGAGAAATGAAGGAAGGGAAGGGAAAGGAAGGGAAAAAAGGAAGCAAGGGAAAAGAAGGAAGGGAAAAAGGGAAGGAAGGGAAAGGAAGAAAAAAGGAAAGGAAGGAAAGAAGAAAGGAAAGGAAAAAGGGAAGGAAGGGAAAGGAAGAAAAAAGGAAAGATAGGAAAGAAGAAAGGAAGGAAAGAAAAAGAAGGAAGAGAAATGAAGGAAGGGAAAGGAAAGGAAGGGAAAAAAGGAAGCAAGGGAAAGGAAGGAAGGGAAAAAGGGAAGGAAGGGAAAGGAAGAAAAAAGGAAAGATAGGAAAGAAGAAAGGAAGGAAAGAAAAAGAAGGAAGAGAAATGAAGGAAGGGAAGGAAAGGAAGGGAAAAAAGGAAGCAAGGGAAAGGAAGGAAGGGAAAAAGGGAAGGAAGGGAAAGGAAGAAAAAAGGAAAGGTAGGCAAGAAGAAAGAAAGGAAAGAAAAGGAAGGGAAAGAAAGAAAGAGAAGGGAAGGAAGGGACACGAAAGGAAGGGAAAGGAAAAGAAGGGAAGGGAAAAAAGGAAGGAAGGGAAAGGAAGAAAAAAGGAAAGGAAGGAAAGAAGAAAGGAAAGGAAAAAGGGAAGGAAGGGAAAGGAAGAAAAAAGGAAAGATAGGAAAGAAGAAAGGAAGGAAAGAAAAAGAAGGAAGAGAAATGAAGGAAGGGAAGGGAAAGGAAGGGAAAAAAGGAAGCAAGGGAAAGGAAGGAAGGGAAAAAGGGAAGGAAGGGAAAGGAAGAAAAAAGGAAAGGTAGGCAAGAAGAAAGAAAGGAAAGAAAAGGAAGGGAAAGAAAGAAAGAGAAGGGAAGGAAGGGACACGAAAGGAAGGGAAAGGAAAAGAAGGGAAGGGAAAAAAGGAAGGAAGGGAAAGGAAGAAAAAAGGAAAGGAAGGAAAGAAGAAAGGAAAGGAAAAAGGGAAGGAAGGGAAAGGAAGAAAAAAAGGAAAGATAGGAAAGAAGAAAGGAAGGAAAGAAAAAGAAGGAAGAGAAATGAAGGAAGGGAAGGGAAAGGAAGGGAAAAAGGAAGCAAGGGAAAAGAAGGAAGGGAAAAAGGGAAGGAAGGGAAAGGAAGAAAAAAGGAAAGGAAGGAAAGAAGAAAGGAAAGGAAAAAGGGAAGGAAGGGAAAGGAAGAAAAAAGGAAAGATAGGAAAGAAGAAAGGAAGGAAAGAAAAAGAAGGAAGAGAAATGAAGGAAGGGAAAGGAAAGGAAGGGAAAAAAGGAAGCAAGGGAAAGGAAGGAAGGGAAAAAGGGAAGGAAGGGAAAGGAAGGAAAGAAGAAAGGAAAGGAAAAAGGGAAGGAAGGGAAAGGAAGAAAAAAGGAAAGATAGGAAAGAAGAAAGGAAGGAAAGAAAAAGAAGGAAGAGAAATGAAGGAAGGGAAGGGAAAGGAAGGGAAAAAAGGAAGCAAGGGAAAGGAAGGAAGGGAAAAAGGGAAGGAAGGGAAAGGAAGAAAAAAGGAAGGGAAAGAAAGAAAGAGAAGGGAAGGAAGGGAACGAAAGGAAGGGAAAGGAAAAGAAGGGAAGGGAAAAAAGGAAGGAAGGGAAAGGAAGAAAAAAGGAAAGGAAGGAAAGAAGAAAGGAAAGGAAAAAGGGAAGGAAGGGAAAGGAAGAAAAAAGGAAAGATAGGAAAGAAGAAAGGAAGGAAAGAAAAAGAAGGAAGAGAAATGAAGGAAGGGAAGGGAAAGGAAGGGAAAAAAGGAAGCAAGGGAAAGGAAGGAAGGGAAAAAGGGAAGGAAGGGAAAGGAAGAAAAAAGGAAAGGTAGGCAAGAAGAAAGAAAGGAAAGAAAAGGAAGGGAAAGAAAGAAAGAGAAGGGAAGGAAGGGACACGAAAGGAAGGGAAAGGAAAAGAAGGGAAGGGAAAAAAGGAAGGAAGGGAAAGGAAGAAAAAAGGAAAGGAAGGAAAGAAGAAAGGAAAGGAAAAAGGGAAGGAAGGGAAAGGAAGAAAAAAAGGAAAGATAGGAAAGAAGAAAGGAAGGAAAGAAAAAGAAGGAAAGAAAGAAAGAGAAGGGAAGGAAGGGACACGAAAGGAAGGGAAAGGAAAAGAAGGGAAGGGAAAAAAGGAAGGAAGGGAAAGGAAGAAAAAAGGAAAGGAAGGAAAGAAGAAAGGAAAGGAAAAAGGGAAGGAAGGGAAAGGAAGAAAAAAGGAAAGATAGGAAAGAAGAAAGGAAGGAAAGAAAAAGAAGGAAGAGAAATGAAGGAAGGGAAGGGAAAGGAAGGGAAAAAAGGAAGCAAGGGAAAGGAAGGAAGGGAAAAAGGGAAGGAAGGGAAAGGAAGAAAAAAGGAAAGGTAGGAAAGAAGAAAGAAAGGAAAGAAAAGGAAGGGAAAGAAAGAAAGAGGAGGAGAAGGGAAGGAAGGGAAAGGAAAGGGAGGAAGGGAAAGGAAGGAAGACTTACATTTTGCCTGATGTTCATCTATTTCCTGTTTAGTTTTCTTGATACAGCTGAAGATTTCTACTGTATATACACACATACATACACACCTACATGTATGTACGTGTATATGTATGTATGTATGTGTGTGTGTGTATATATATATATAATATCCACATTATTGAAATTATACACATTTCTTTTACGTTCTTAGGAATATTATCCTGTCAATTATCTCCAGTCTTTTGGGTTTTAGAAGGCAGAATGTATTCCTATATTATGTATTTATATTCTTTTTGGTCCCCCAATCCCAGGCCACTGACCTCGGTGGAGCCGGTGAAGGCCACTTTGTCGATCCCCAAGTGGGAGGCAATGGCCGCTCCGGCGGTGGGTCCGAACCCGGGAAGGATGTTGACCACGCCCGGAGGGAAGCCGGCCTGCGGAAACAGGTGGACATAGAACCCATTAGGAAACGATGTTTCTATCCCAGGAAAAAAAAGTCATGGCGATACAGAGTATGATTGTTGTAATTATTCTCATTGGGTAGAAGCGGAATGGTCATCTGCAGGGAGGGTTGTGCCTTCCGGCTCGGCAGAAGGAGGTCAGACTAGATGGCCCTTGGGGGACTCTTCCAAGCCTATAATTCTATTATTATTATTATTATTATTATTATTATTATTATTATTATTAAGCAGGGACTGCATGCTCATCTGTCAGGAGGGCTTTGATTGTGCCTTCCTGCCTGGCAGAAGGGGGTCAGACTGGATGGCCCTTGGGGGACTCTTCCAAGCCTATAATTCTATTATTATTATTATTATTATTATTAAGCAGGGGCTGCATGTCTATCTGTCAGGAGGGCTTTGATTGTGCCTTCCTGCCTGGCAGAAGGGGGTTGGACTGGATGGCCTTTGGGGTCTCTTCTAAGTATAGGAGTCTATTATTATTATTATTATTATTATTATTATTATTATTATTATTATCATTATTAAGCAGAGGCTGGATGGACCTTGATTGCACCTTCCTGCCCAGCAGAAGGGGGTCAGATTGGATGGCCTCGGGGGTCGCTTGCAAGTCTAGGATTCAATGATGCTGACGATGCAGGATTCTGTTATTATTATTATCATCATTATAAGCAGAGGCTGGATGGCCATCTGCAGGAAGGGCTTTGATTGTGGTTTCCTTCCTAGCAGAAGGGGTGTGAATTGCCTTCACCTGGCAGGAAGGGCTCAGAATGGATGGCACTTGGTGTCTCTTCCAAGTCTAGGATTCTACGATGATGCAGGATTCTATTACTATTACTATTATTATTATTATTATTATTATTATTATTAGCTGTACCCACCACACTGTGGCCAACCTTCCCTCTTTCTCTCCTTCTTTCCCTCCTTCCTTCACTCCCTCTTCCCTTCCTGCTTTCCCGTCTTTCCTTCTCTTCCTCCTTCCTTCTCTATCTCTTTCCTTCCCCCTTTTCTTTCTCTTCTGCTGTCTCTTTCCTTCCCTCTTTCCTTCCCTCCCTCTTTCTCTACATCTTCCCCCCTTCCTTCGCTCCCTCTTTCCTTCCTTCTTTTCCTTTTTTCTTTCTTTCTCTCCTTCCTTCCTTCTCTAACTTTCCTTCCTTCCCCTTTTTCTTTCCCTCCCTCTTTCTCTCCTTTCTTCCTTCTCTACCTCCTTTCTTCCTTCCTTCTCTCTTTGCTTCCATGCTTCCTTCTCCCTTTCCTTCTTTCTTTCTTTTCTTTTCTTTTTTCTTTCCTTCTTCTTTCTTCCTCCTTTTTTTTCTTTTCTTCTCTCTTTCTCTCCTTTCTTCCTTCTCTATCTTTCCTTCTTCTTCCCTTAGCATCTTTCTATAAAATCTTAAACCATTAATTTAACTACCTCTTTCCTTACTTATTTTCGTTTCTTTCTTTATCTACGTACTTCATTCCCTCTAACTCCTTACTTACCACCTTTTTCTTTCCCCCACTATCTATCCTTTCTTTCCTTATCAACTAATTCAATTACTTAATTCCTTCCCCATAATACATACCTCTTTCTCTAATATTCCAAAACCTTACATTCAATACTCATTCCTTCCTTCTTGTCATTCTTTCTTTATTTCTGTCATCCTCCTCTATAACTTTCTTCTCACTATTTTTTCTTTCTTCCTCCTCTTTATATCCTTTCTTACTTCTTACATCTAATTCCTTATTTCCTTCACTCCCTCTTTATATAAATCTTCCACATTCCTTAGATCAAACTTACTTACACTTTCTTTTCCTTTTTCTTTCTTTATCATAATTCCTTCCTTAATCTTAAGTTCAATTCCTTACCCCTTTTCTTTACCTGCCTCTTCTATAATTTATTCATATCTACATAGTCCTTCATTCCTTCTCTTTCTCTTCTTCCCCCTTCCTCCCCTCTTTCCTTCCTTCCTTCTCTAACTTTCCTTCCTTCCCCCTTTTTCTTCCTTCCCTTCTCTACCTCCTTCCTTCCTTCTCTCTTTCCTTCTTTCCTTCCCTCCCTCTTTCTCTAAATCTTCCCCCTTCCTTCGCTTCCTCTTTCCTTCCTTCTTTCCTTTTTTTCTTTCCTTTTCTCCTTCCTTCCTTCTCTAACTTATCCTTCCTTCCTTCCTTCCTTCTCTCTTTCTTCTTTCCTTTCCTCCCTCTTTCTCTACTTTTTCCCCTTCCTCCTCTCTTTTTCCTTTTTTCTTTCCTTCTCTCCTCTTCCTTCTCTTTCCTTTCCCCTTTTCTTTTCCTTCCTTCCTTCCCCTTTTTCTTTCCCTCCCTCTTTCTCTTTCTTCCTTCTTTACCTCTTTCCTTCCTTCCTTCTCACTTTCCTTCTTTCTTTCCCTCCCTCTTTCTTTTCTTTCTTTTTTCTCCCCTTCTCTCTATCTTTCTTTCCTTTTTTCTGTATTGTCATTTAGCTTTCCGTCATTTAGCTTTTTGGGGCTTTTTAAGTCCCTTCTGCTGCGTTTTGTTGTGTTTTTTTGAGTGAAAAACATACATTGGGTTGTGAGGTGTCTTGTGTCCAAATTTGGTGTCAATCCCTCCAGTGCTTTTTGAGTTCTGTTAATCCCACAAAGGAACATTACATTTTTATTTATATAGATTATTATTAAGCAGAGGCCATCTGCAGGGAGGGCTTTAATTGTGCCTTCCTGCGGGTGGAAGTGGGCCAGGCTGGATGGCCCTTGGGGGTCCCCCTGTGCTCCATGTTCTCACGATGCTGGGGGGGGGGGGTTCCTGTGGGGGGTGGGCTCCTGCGTACCTCCTTGATGAGGGCGCCCATGTGGAGGGCGCTGAGGGGGGTCTGCTCGGCCGGCTTGAGGACCACCGTGTTCCCGCAGCAAAGGGCCGGCGCAATCTTCCAGGCGAACATCAGCAGAGGGAAGTTCCACTGCAGAGAGAGAAAGAGAGGAAGAGGAAGAGGAGGAGGAAGTAGGGCATGGTGTCTCTCTCCCAATGGGAAGCAATGGGAAGCAACCTGGAGCGCAACTCACAGGGATGATCTGTCCGCAGACGCCGATGGGCTCCTGGCGCGTGAAAGTGAAGAAGTCTCCGTCTGGAAGAGAGGAGGGTCCCGTTATAGCAGGGTTTCTCAACCTGGGGGTCGGGACCCCTGAGGGGGTCTTGAGGGGGTGTCAGAGGGGTCGCCAGAGACCATCAGAAAACAGTATTTTCTTTTGGTCATGAGGGTCCTGTGTGGAAAGTTTGGCCCAATTCTATCGTTGATGGGGTTCAGAATGCTCTTTGATTGTAGGTGAACTATAAATCCCAGTAACTACAACTCCCAAATGTCAAGGTCTATTTCCCCCAAACTCCATCTGTGTTCATATTTGGGCGTATTGAGTGCTTGTGCCAAGTCTGGTCCAGATCCATCATTGTTTGAGTCCACAGTGCTCTCTGGATGTAGGTGAACTACAACTCCAAAACTCAAGGTCAATGCCCACCAAACCCTTCCAGTATTTTCTGTTGGTCATGGGAGTTCTGTGTGCCAAGTTTGGTTCAATTCCACTTGGTAGAGTTCAGAATGCTCTTTGATTGTAGGTGAACTATAAATCCCAGCAATTACAACTCCCAAATGTCAAGGTCTATTTTCCCCAAACTCCAGCAGTGTTCACATTTGGGCATATTGAGTATCTGTGCCAAGTTTGGTCCAGATCCATCATTGTTTGAGTCCACAGTGCTCTCTGGATGTAGGTGAACTACAACTCCAAAACTCAAGGTCAATGCCCACCAAACCCTTCCAGTATTTTCTGTTGGTCATGGGAGTTCTGTGTGCCAAGTTTGGTCCAATTCATCGTTGTTGGAGTTCAGAATGCTCTTTGATTGTAGGTGAACTATAAATCCCAGCGACTACAACTCCCAAATGTCAAGGTCTATTTTCCCCAAACTCCACCAGTGTTCACATTTGGGCATATTGAGTATTTGTGCCAAGTTTGGTCCAGATCCATCATTGTTTGAGTCCACAGTGCTCTCTGGATGTAGGTGAACTACAACTCCAAAACTCAAGGTCAATACCCACCAAACCCTTCCAGTATTTTCTGTTTGTCATGGGAGATCTGTGTGCCAAGTTTGGTCCAATTCAATCGTTGGTAGAGTTCAGAATGCCCTTTGAATGTAGGTGAACTATAAATCCCAGTAACTACAACTCCCAAATGCCAAGGTCTATTTTCCCCAAACTCCACCAGTGTTCACATTTGGGCATATTGAGTATCTGTGCCAAGTTTGGTCCAGATCCATCATTGTTTGAGTCCACAGTGCTCTCTGGATGTAGGTGAACTACAACTCCAAAACTCAAGGTCAATACCACCAAACCCTTCCAGTATTTTCTGTGTCCCATGTTTGGTTCAATTCCATTGTTGATGGGGTTCGGAATGCTCTGTGATTGTAGGTGAACTATAAATCCCAGCAACTACAACTTCCAAATGACAAAATGAATCCTCCTATCCCAACCCCACCAGTATTCAAATTGGGGCATATCGTGTATTTGTGCCAAATGTGGTCCAGTGAATGAGAATACATCCTGCATATCAGATATTGACATTTAAGATTCATAACAGGAGAAAAATTACAATTACGAAATAGCAACAAAAATAATGTGATGGTTGGGGGTCACCACAACATGAGGAACCATATTAAGGGGTCGCGGCATTAGGAGGGTTGAGAACCACTGCAATAGGAAGTTGCCTTGGGCCTCTGCTATGTAGCCAAGCAGGCCAAAGAGGAAGCAGCGTTGACCATGATCTCAAATTGGGGTCAACTGTGCAAGGCTCCAGGACTCTCGGTCGCAGAAGATGCCGTTCAGCACCTTGGAGAAGGACAGCAAAGCAGGCCAAAATAAGACCCAAAGCGGAGACACTGCCGCACTGGATTGAGCTTGGGAAAAGCTCCTTCCTTCTATCTACGGCCCCTTCTGCGCTTCCCAATATCCCAGGATCGGGTCCCAGATTATCTGCTTTGAAATGAAACATAGAATCATACTCATAGATTCAATGGCCTGTTGAACAGGAAGGAGGAAACCATGAAAATGAACAAAACCTGGCTACCAGTATTAAAAAGCTCAAAAATTACAACAGCAAAACAACAGAGAGGAAACAAACAAGGACATCTAATCACCTCTCAACAAAAGATTGCCCCAGGCACTGTCAGGCAATCAGAATGCTAATCAGGTGGTCAATTGAACATTCACACCTAGCTCAGCAGACAAGAGTTCTTTGTCCCACCCTGGTCATTCCACAGATATATAAACCCTTTTTCCTAGTTCCAACAGACCTCACAACCTGAGGATGCTTGCCATAGATGCAGGCGAAACGTCAGGAGAGAATGCCTCTAGAACATGGCCATATAGCCCGAAAAAACCTACAACAAGGACATCTAATCACCTCTCAACAAAAGATTGCTCCAGGCACTGCCAGGCCATCAAATGCTAATCAAGGTTGTCAGTTGAAACATTCACACCTAGCTCAAGCAGACAAGAGTCCTTTGTCCCACCCTGGACATTATTCCACAGATATATAAACCCTTTTTCCTACTTGAAACAGACCTCACTACCTCTGAGGATGCTTGCCATAGATGCAGGTGAAACGTCAGGAGAGAATGCCTCTAGAACACGGCCATACAGCCCGAAAAAACCTACAACAACCCAGTGATTCCGGCCATGAAAGCCTTTGACAATACAGAGGAGAAACAATCAGGCACATCTAATCACCTCTCAACAAAAGATTGCCCCAGGCACTGCCAGGCCATCAAATGCTAATAAAGGTGGTCAGTTGAAACATTCACACCTAGCTCCAGCAGACAAGAGTCCTTTGTCCCACTCTGGTCATTCCACAGATATATAAACCCTTTTTCCTAGTTCCAACAGACCTCACTACCTCTGAGGATGCTTGCCATAGATGCAGGTGAAACGTCAGGAGAGAATGCCTCTAGAACACGGCCATACAGCCCGAAAAAACCTACAACAACCCAGTGATTCCGGCCATGAAAGCCTTTGACAATACAGAGGAGAAACAATCAGGCACATCTAATCACCTCTCAACAAAAGATTGCCCCAGGCACTGCCAGGCCATCAAATGCTAATCAAGGTGGTCAGTTGAAACATTCACACCTAGCTCCAGCAGACAAGAGTCCTTTGTCCCACCCTGGTTATTCCACAGATATATAAACCCTTTTTCCTAGTTCGAACAGACCTCACTACCTCTGAGGATGCTTGCCATAGATGCAGGCAAAACGTCAGGAGAGAATGCCTCTAGACCATGGCCATATAGCCCGAAAAAACCTACAACAACCCAGCGATTCCGGCCATGAAAGCCTTTGACAATACATCATCATCATCATCATCATTATTATTATTATTATTATTATTATTATTATTATTATTATTATTATATAATAATAATAATAATAATAATAATAATAATAATAATAATATCTGCATGTGGACCCTTTCTTTCTTTTTTTTACAGACACACCTACCTAAACTTTGGTGTTGGTCCTTGCAGAATCTCACCCAGTTTTCTGTATATCTTAACACACTTTGTCCTTAGAAAGTGAGCCACTCACTCACTTACCCACGGGGATGGTGGCGCCCTGCACCTTGTCGGCCCACCCGGCGTAGTAGCGCAAGGTCTTGATGGCGCCCTGCAGGTCCACGTAGAAGGCCTGCAAGAAGGGCTTCCCGCTGTTGAGAGACTCCAGCGTCTGCAAGGCAAGCACAGCACACGTCATCGGCCACAGCTCGCAGTGGAGGGCACGGCCCTTGCATTCCCCACCAAAAAAATCCCAAAGATCCAGGAATCTTTTATGTCTCCTCGGTGGAAGAAGAAGACCTTTTGCAAGCCCAGCTCAAAGCGAGAGCACCTCCACAGATGGGGAAAGGGCCTTCTGGAATAAGACAACTGGGAAACTGGTTTGGAAGGAGTAGAGCCATGAGGCTTTTGCCCAGCTCTCTATCTGAATGTGAATGAAGTGACGAGTGGAGTGCCTTCAGGAGGGTTCCATCCGGGCCCGGTCCTGCTCAGGATCTCCATTCATGACTTGGATGAAGGGTTAGAAGGCAGGATCATCAGGTTTGCAGACGACACCAAATTGGGAGGGATATCCAACACTTCAGAGGACAGGAGCAGGATTCAAAACAATGAGATGAATGGCCAAAGCTCACAAAATGAAGTTCAACAGGGACAAATGCAAGAGACTCCACTTTGGCAGGAAAAACGAAATGCAAAGAGCCAAAATGGGGGACTGTGCTGGTATGGCTATACCAGGAGCTTCAACTTTATTTGCTTTGCATTGAATGTTTGTTTGCAGTCCTAAGTTTCAGGGATTCTGCAGATAGGCGGCTTTTTTTGGTTGCAGTCGTAGGGCAAGCCACCTGTCCATCATCATTAAGTTTTGGTCCCACCCCTTGCTCAGGGGAAGTGGGAAGGGAAGGGAGCCATTTTTTAGTTAGTCTCAGCAAGGAAAGCTAATGTACAGGACGTGTTCAAGCTTCCCCTGTACAAAAGCTTCAACTTTTAAGAATTTCCAGGAAAGCATCCCCACAGCTTTGAGAATTTCCAGGAAAACAGCCCTAAAGACTAAAAGAACTCCAGCTGGAGAACATCTACTGCCTTGCTGGTAGGTCCACTCAGCGTTCGAGACGCAGAAATTGGTTTGGAAAGAGTAGAGCTCTGAGGCTTCTGCTCAGCTCTCTATCTGAATGTGAATGAAGTGACGAGTGGAGTGCCATCAGCAAGGTTCCGTCCTGAGCCCGGTCCTGTTCAGGATCTTCATTAATGACTTAGATGAAGGGTTAGAAGGCAGGATCATCAAGTTTGCAGACGGGACCAAATTGGGAGGGAGAGACCAAGACTCCAGAGGACAGGAGCAGGATTCAAAGGGATCTTGACAGATTAGAGAGATGATGGGCCAAAACCACAAAATGAAGTTCAACAGGGACAAATGCAAGAGACTCCACTTAGGCAGGAAAAACGAAATGCAAAGAGACAGAATGGGGGACGATGAGGCCTGGCTTGAGAGCAGGACGTGTGGAAAAGAACTTGGAGTCCTTGACAGATGAGAGAGATGATGGGCCAAAACTCACACAATGAAGTTCAACAGGGACAAATGCAAGAGACTCCACTTAAGCAGAAAAAATGAAATGCAAAGAGACAGAATGGGGGACGATGAGGCCTGTTGGTGGAGTTCAGAATGCTCTTTGATATTGTAGGCAGGGGCGGTTCGTCCATTACGCGAAGGAAGCGGTCGCAGAACACTTTTTTTTGCCAGGGGTGCAGAGGTGCCTCTGTATATGCCCCTCGACCGCCACTTGAGGAGCGCCCCCTCAGCTCACAACAGCCCTAGCAGTCCGGGGGGAGCCTCAGCTTTCTTGCCTCTCTGCCTCTCTCTCTCTCTCTATCTCTTGGTCCCAATGGCTGAGGAGAAAGTCAGGAGAAGAGGTGACTTTTGGTGCACACGCCGGGGTCTTCAGGCACGCCTCCGGACCCAAAGCGGGCCAGGCAAGGGAGCAAGTGCGGCAAGTGGAGTTACTGGGATGTATAGTTCACCTACAATCAAAGAGCATTCTGAACTCCACCAATGATGGAATTGGACCAAATATGGCACACAGAACTCCCACGACAAACAGAAAATATATATCAGTGATTGTTTGGGGGGGCGGGGCAAAATACTGTTTGCTTACTGTTGAAAATTACCTTGGGTAGGTGAACTGTATTAAGGGGTCACGGCATTTGGAAGGTTGAGAACCACTGTTATAAGGTGTACTTCTTTGTATGCGGCTGCATGTGTCTGCGTGTCATCCAAAATAGCCATGCGTGTCTGTGCTGACACACGTGTCATAGGTTCACCATCATGGCCCTAAAGTGTCCCTTAGTGTCCCTTCCATCCACCCTCATTGAAGGCAGGTACCGGCCCCAAGGAACCATAAATCCCATTGATTTGCAGAAGGCCATCCCTAGATTTCCGAAAGTGGACTTGGCTCAGGGAACTAAAGAAGGAAAGAAAGCAAGCAAGGAAGGAAAGGAGGGAAGCAAGAAAGGAGGGAGGGAGGGAAGGCTCTCGATTTTCTCCGCTCCCTGCAGCGCTTTTACAGCATGCGCTGGCGCTAAAACGATTTAAGTGTTGACAAAGCTGGAATTAAGATGTTTGCCGGCTTAGTTCAAAGCACTTGGCAAGCGGAAAAGGCCATTAGCGGCGCTCCCTGCGTGTGTGTATGTGTGTGTGTGTGTGCAGCAAAGCGCATGGGCCGCTTGCAGCAACAATGGGCCTGAACTGCACAGCAGGCCAAGGGCAAAGGGATGGATCCCAAACCAGGGATGGGACCTTCTCAGCAGCAGCAGCAACAACAACAACAGCAACAACAACAATAACAACAAGTATAGTCGATGCTGCAATCCCAGGTGATAGCAGGATTGAAGAAAAACAACTGGAAAGGCTGACACGATACGAGGATGTAAAGATCGAACTGCAAAGACTCTGGCACAAGCCAGTCAAGGGGGTCCCAGTGGTGATCGGCACACAGGGTGCAGTGCCTCAAGACCTTGGCCTGTCCTGCACTTAAACACAATCGGCCACCCTACTCGGATCTGCAGGCATTATTCGCCGATACATCATGTTAGAGACCCTAAATTGGGTCTTCTTAGGTCCACATCACGGGAGCACATAAGGAAGGAAACAGTCCCAGTGTTTTAGTTTCTTCATGAAGAAGACGGACAGCCTGGCAGCATACGCAGATGCGACCCTTCCAGTGACTGCCGCGTCCCCTTGGCTTTTTGACCACCGATATATAACCTCAAGTAAACAAGAACATTTTTTTTGTCATGGAAAGTACTCTCTTTCCAGCCTCCTCCCTTGACCTTTTGATGGAAAGTACCTTCTTGTACCTGCAGACTCTACGCTTAACCACAACCTTTGAACTTAGCCACAACACAACTTCCGACCTCTACGTGTCACATCTTGTTTCTTAAAAACATTTTCTTCCGTGTTGCTCTTTTTCTACAGAGAAAGGGTATGTTTCTCTTTTGCTGTTAATTTCATTCAAAGCCCCTTGCTTAGCATTTGCAAATTTCACTCAAAGACCCTTTCAATCACAGAGTCCTAGACGGTTGGGAAGGGTCCGATGTGTGATCCAATACAACAGCCAGCAGAGTGATCTTGTTTGCTGTGGACTCGTCTTGTTGTGTTTCAAATAATAATAATAATAATAATAATAATAATAATAATAATAGATATATTGTAAGGGATCACGGGTTTAGGGTGCGGGGTCCCTTTTTGAAGAAATCCACAGAGTCCAATTGGACACCATTTAATCAAGCTGATCAACATGAGATGGACAGAAACACTTCTGTTTGTGTTTTCAAAAACTGCTGCGCTCCTCCTCTGTTTTTGCTGACTTTTATACTCAAGTAATAGGTCATGGAAAGTACTCTCTTTCCAGCCCCTCTCCCTTGACCTTTTGATGGAAAGTACCTTCTTGTACCTGCAGACTCTGCACTGAATCACAACTTTTGAACTTAACTACAACACAACTATTTCCTATGTAGGCTTGAACTTTGTATGACCTCTACATGTCACATCTTGTTTCTTAAAAACAAGGGGTGCTTGCAGAGAATAGAGCAGAGGAATAGTCATAACCATAATAATAATAATAATAATAATAATAATAATAATTCAGAATATAATAATAATAATAATAGTAATAATAATAATAATAATAATAATAATAATAATAATAATCGCATCTCCGTCTATCTCCCTCTATATACCGTTGCGGAGATTAAGATCCTCTGGGGAGGCCCTGCTTTCCGTCCCGCCATTGTCGCAGGCGTGATGGGTGGGGACGAGAGACAGGGCCTTCTCAGTGATTGCTCCCCAGCTATGGTACTCCCTTCCTGGTGAGATCAGGTCGGCCCCCTTCCTCCTGTCCTTTAGAAGGAGGGTCAAAACTTGGCTGTGGGACCAAGTTTCGGGACAGGGCAATGAAGCGACAATGGGAAAGATGACAGGGCCAACTGGATTTGGTGAGGATGGCTAGGATGGTTTTAAATTGGGTTATTTTAAATGTTTTATTTTAATATTTAGATAAATGTTTTTTAATGTTTATGTATTGTATCCAGGCATTGAATGTTTGCCATGTATATGTTGTGCTCCGCTCGGAGTCCTTTTCGGGGTGAGAAGGGCGGAATATGTTCTAAATAAATAAATAATAAATACATAATAACAACTCCAGCTGAGCCTCCAAAGCTTCCTGACTGTGAGAACCATTCAGCAGTGGAACTCTCTGCCCTGGAGTGTGGTGGAGGCTCCTTCTTTGTAGGCTTTGAAGCCGAGGCTGGCTGGCCATCTGTCAGGGGTGATTTGAATGCTATCTTCCTGCTTCTTGGCAGAATGGGGTTGCACTGGATGGCCCAGGAGGTCTCTTCCAACTCTGATTCTATGATTCTATAACTTCCTGACTGTGAGAGCCGTTCAGCAGTGGAACTCTCTGCCCCGGAGGGAGTGTGGTGGAGGCTCCTTCTTTGGAAGCTTTGAAACAGAGGCTGGATGGCCATCTGTCAGGGGTGCTTTGAACGCAATACTCCTGCTTCTTGGCAGAATGGGGTTGGACTGGATGGCCCAAGAGGTCTCTTCCAACTCTAGGATTCTATGATTCTAGGATTCCCACAATTCCTAACAGCCTCAGACCCCTTCCTTTTGGAAGTTGGAAGTCCAAAACACCTGGAGGGAGGACCCAAGTTTGCAAATACCTGCCTTACGGTGTGCAGCAACTGGAATTGGTGGCGGCCTCCCATCCGAACACCATCCAGGGCTGGCCCTGCTTAGCCTCCACAATGAGGACATTTAGGGAACCATGACCAGTAAAAGAATCCTCTGGAGGGTTTCCTTAGAGCTTTGGACCTCTGGGTGTTTTGGACTTCAATTCCCACAATTGGTGGTGGCCTCCCATCTGAATGCCATCCAGGACTGGCCCTGCTTAGCAGTCACACGACTCAGCCCCAGTGTCCCCACTGACCCTCAGAGGACTCACCGCCAGTGTGGTCCGGTCCCTCTCCACCAGGTCGGCCAGCCTGCCCAGGAGGGCTCCCCTCTCGGAGGCGTCCATCCTCCGCCAGGCCGATCCGCGGGAAAAGGCCAGCCGGGCCGCGCGCACCGCTTTGTCCGTGTCCAGCTGGGAAAAGAAAGGACGGTCAAGGGAGTCGGACAAGGCGCAACCGGGGCCAGAAAGGCCAAAGCCACCCCGAGCTGCATCCATGATACAGGTTGGAATAGAAGCGCAATACCGATGGGATAGGATTGCACTTCTATTCCAATCTGAATCATCTTCTTTGAATTGGCTGTCTGCAAGGACGTTGCCCAGTAATAATAATCATCTATGTAAATAAAAATGTCATGTTCGTTTGTGGGATTAACAGAACTCAAAAACCACTGGACGAATTGACACCAAATTTGGACACAATGCACCTAACAACCCAATGTACGTCCTTCACTAAAAAAAAAATGATTTTGTCATTTAGGAGTTGAAGTTTCTGGGACATTGGTGGAGTTTGGGGAAAATAGAATCTTGACATTTGGGAGTTGTAGTTGCTGGGATTTATAGTTCACCTACAATCAAAGAACATTCTGAATTCCATCAACAATGGAACTGAACCAAACTTGGCACACAGTTCTCCCATGAATAACAGAACATACTGGAAGGGTTTGGTGGGCAGTGTCCTTTGGTTTTGGAGTTGTAGTCCACCTACATCCAGAAAGCACTGTGGACTCAAACAATGGACCAAATTGTACACGAATAATCAATATGCCCAAATGTGAACACTGGTGGAGTTTGGGGAAAATAGAATCTTGACATTTGGGTGTTATAATAATAATATTTATTTATTTGATCAGTCATATGACCATTTCAAACTAGAACATGAGCAGAAAACAAGGCAAAATTTTAATTTTTTGAGTGATGGTCACTTTTTGTGTTGGTGTGATTTCGTTCATTGGTTCTTTTGTTTTTAAGGGACTCATGACGCACAGAGCATTTTTATATATATAGATATAAATCCCAGCAACTACAACTCCCAAATGACAAAATCATAATTTTTGGAGTGATGGTCACTCCTTGTGTTGTGAGACGTTTTGTTGCCAAATTTGGTGTGATTTCGTTCATTGGTTCTTTTGTTTTTAAGGGACTCATGACGCACAGAGCACTTTAGATAGATAGATAGATAGATAGATAGATAGATAGATAGATAGATAGATAACATATACGATAATATAGAAACATTTCTTGGGGCTCCATGAGACACTTTTTCTCCAAAAAGGGCTCCACGGCTGGAAAGGTTTGAGGACCCCTGACTGAAAGACATCCAAGGAGGGACAGTCCATCTCCTTCTGTCGAAAGCCCACCCCTCTCTGAAGATCTTTGGACAGGGGTGGATGGACACCTTCAGCCAGAAGTTGCAAGCTCAGTGGGTGGGTCTAGGTGACCTCTGGAGGACCCTTCCCTTCCCAGACTATCCTGCCCCATACCTGGTCTGCTTCTTGCACCTCACAGATCGGTTCTCCAAGCGCCGGGTTGTAGACGGGGAAGGTCCGCCCGCTCTCTGAGTTCTGCCATTCATTGTTGATAAAAATCTGGGAGAGAAAAAATGACAAGACAAAATACTTAAACACATTGGCAGCTAAAGTGGACTCACACTGCATCAATTCTGTAGTGAAGATGCACCTCTGAAGTCATTCCATGTTTGTATGCTGTCTCTCGTTTGCATATTTACTACCTGTCTATGTGTCCCTGCAGATTATACATCTTGCCTTGTTCCAACATATAAGTCTCCTCCTCCTCCTCCTCCTCATCATCATCATCATCATCATTATCAATAATAATACCCAGCTTTACCTGCCCAGAAGGGGACTCAAAATGGATTAAGAGACACTATAGGAGCCTAGTGTCTAGATCTAGGGAAGTCCTACTCCCCATGCTCTATTCTGCCTTGGTCAGACCACACCTGGAATATTGTGTCCAATTCTGGGCACCACAATTCAAGAGAGAGATTGACAAGCTGGAATGTGTCCAGAGGAGGGCGACTGAAATGATCAAGGGTCTGGAGAACAAGCCCTATGAGGAGCGGCTTAAGGAGCTGGGCATGTTTAGCCCGAAGAAGAGAAGGCTGAGAGGAGACATGATGAGAGCCATGTCTAAATATGTGAGAGGAAGCCACAGGGAGGAGGAGGGAGGGAGCTTCCTTTCTGCTTCCCTGGAGACTAGGACGCAAGGGAACAATGGCTTCAAACTACAAGAAAGGAGATTCCACCTGAACATGAGGAAGAACTTCCTGACTGTGAGAGCCGTTCAGCAGTGGAACTCTCTGCCCCAGAGTGTGGTGGAGGCTCTTTCTTTGGAGGCTTTTAAACAGAGGCTGGATGGCCATCTGTCAGGGGTGATTGGAATGCAATATTCCATCTTCTTGGAAGAATGGGGTTGGACTGGATGGCCCATGAGGTCTCTTCCAACTTTTTGATTCTATGATTCTAAGATAAAAGCGTCAGCGTCACCATTAAAAACAGACAAATAAGCAAATATTAAAACAGAATTAAAGATAAACAGTATTTTTAAAATTCTCAGCCAAAAATCATTATTTCTTTCCTTCCTTCCTTCGATTTGTTTGATTTGGTTCTGGGTTCTTTTTGCCATTACTTTAAAAGACTTGTCCTGAGCTCATTTTGTGCTTTAGCCTTGCAGACCTTTTCCCTACAGGTGTTGGCTATTTGTTTGAATTCTTCTTTGGTGATTTCTCCCTTTTTCCACTTCTTGTGCATGTCTCTTTTGTGTCTTAGCACAGTTAGAAGTTCTTTGGACATCTGGCTTCTTTGCACTTGTCCTATTTTTTCTCTTTGTTGGCACGGTTTGCAATTGCGCCTTGAGTATTTCACTCTTGAGAAACTCCCATCCATCCGTAACTCTCCTGTCTTTTAGTATCCACGGAATGCTGCTCAGTGTTTCCCTCATTTTTCAGAAATCAGCTCTCCTAAAGTCCAAAATGCAGGTTTGACTTGTCTTAGTTTCGGCCTTCCTTTGTACCTCAAATTGCAGGAGCACATGGTCACTTGCCCCTAAGGATCCGACCACTTCAACCGCATTGATCAGGTCCTCCGCATTTGTTAGGATGATATCAAGAGTAGCCAATCCCCTTGTTGCCTCTTCTACCTTCTGGACCATGAAATTGTCTGCAAGGCAAGCAAGGCATTTGTTGGACCTTGTACTCTTGGCCGAGATTGTTTTCGAGCAAATATCGGGGTTGCTGAAATCGCCCATGACTACTACATCTCTTCTCTGTGCCTGTTTGGTCAACTGTTGGCAGAAGACTTCATCAAGTTCTTCCTCCTGGCTTGGAGGTCTGTAATAGACGCCTACAACAGGGCTTTGTAGGTTTTAGGCCATTACTGCTCAAGCAGGGAGCTTTGAGATGGTAGAACAGAAGCTCTTCGAAGCTCTAGGTGCTCTTACTGCCTATTACAGGGGAAACCAGCTGATCCCTAATCCATCTAAGACACAGACATGTGCCTTTCACCTTAAGAACAGACAAGCATCCCGAGCTCTGAGGATTATGACCTGGGAAGGAAGGAATCCCACTGGAGCATTGCAGCGCACCCAAATCCCTGGGAGGAGTCACTCTGGACCGTGCTCTGACCTACAAGAAGCACTGCTGAACATCAAGCAAAAAGTGGGTGCTAGAAACAATATCATACGAAAACTGACTGGCACAACCTGGGGATCACAACCAGACACAGTGAAGACATCTGCCCTTGCGCTGTGCTACTCTGCTGCTGAGTACGCATGCCCAGTGTGGAACACATCTCTCCACGCTAAAACAGTGGATGTGGCTCTTAGTGAGACATGCCGCATTATCATGGGGTGTCTGCGCCCTACACCACGGGAGAAATTACACTGCTTAGCCGGTATTGCACCACCTGACACCTGCCAGGAAGTAGCAGCCAATAGTGGAAGGACCAAGACAGAGACATCTCCAGCTCATCCCCTGTTTGGGTCTCAGCCAGCACGTCAACGACTTAAATGAAGAAATAATTTTCTAAGATCTACAGAGACACTCGCTGGAACACCTCAGCAAGCGAGAGTCCAAAAGTGGCAGGCTCAAACCCTCAATCAATGGCTGATACCCAATGAGAGACTCCCTCCTGGGCACACGGAAGACAGGGTGACTTGGAAGGCGCTGAACAGACTGCGCTCTGGCACCACGAGATGCAGAGCCAACCTTCAGAAATGGGGCCACAAAGTGGAATCCTCGACATGCGAGTGCGGAGAAAAGCCAACCACTGAGCACCTGCTGCAATGCAACCTGAGCCCTGCCACATGATGCACCAGGGAGGACCTCCTTGCGGCAACACCAGAGGCACTCCACGGGGACAGAGACTGCTCAAAGGACATTTAATCAACTACCAAACTCACAAATTTTGTATTTTATCTGTTTGTTTGTTTTGTTCTGTTAGAAATGTAATATAATCGACTGGTTGCCCTGACATGACAAATAAATAAATAAATAAATAAATACATAAATAAATAGGTAAGCACCTGCACCTTGAATTGGGACCAGAAAATGAATGGCAGCCAGTGGAGCTCCTTGAACAGGAGGGTTAACCGCTCCCTGTAAGGAGCGCCAGTTAACAACCTGGCCGCCGCTCGTTGAACCAGTTGGAATTTCTGAGCCGTTTTCAAGGGCAGCCCCACGTAGAGCGCATTACAGTAGTCCAATCTGGAGGTGACTAAGGCATGGACCACCCTGGCCAGATCTGCCTTCACAAGGTATGGTCGCAGCTGGCGCATGAGTCTTAGTTGTGCAAAGGCCCTCCTGGCCACTGCCTCAAGCGTAAGTGATGAGTCTAGGAAGACACCCAAACTGTGGACCTGTGGCTTCAGGGGGAGTGTAACCCCGTCCAGCACACGTTGCCACCCTGTACCCCGATCTGGTTTATCGGCCAGGAGGACCTCTGTCTTGTCGGGATTGATCTTCAGCTTGTTCCTCCTCATCCAGATAGACACAGCGGCCAGGCACTCGTCCAACACCGAGAGGCCTCCTTGGAGTTGGGTGGAAAGGAGTAGTAGAGTTGTGTGTCATCTGCATAGAGGTGGCACCCAACTCCAAAACTCCGGATGACCTCTCCCAGTGGTTTCATGTAGAGCATGGGAGATAAAATAGAGCCTTGCGGGACTCCACAGGTCAAAGGCCAGGGGTCCGAGCAGGCATCTCTCAACTTCACCATCTAGGAATGACCCTCCGTGCCCCCGAGACCCATCCCAGAGAGACGACCCAGAAGGATACCATGGTCGATGGGATCGCAAGCCGCTGAGATGTCCAAGAGAACCAGCAGACTCACACTCCCCTTGTCCAGCTCTCTACGGAGGTCATCCACCAAGGCGACCAAAGCCGTCTCAGTACCAGGACCAGGCCTGAAGCCAGACTGTGACTGGTCCATCTGGGATCAATCCTCCAGGAAGGACCGGAGCCACGACAAAACTTTGCCTCCAAGGCCCATGCCAGAGAGACGTCCCAGAAGGATACCGTGATCGATGGTATTGAAAGCCGCAGAGACGTCCAATAGAACCGACAGGGTCACACTCTCCCCGTCCAGCTCTCTACGGAGATCATCCACCAAGGTGACCAAAGCCATCTTGGTGCCGTGGCCAGGTAGGTAGAGATATAGATATAGAGGTAGGTAGATAGGTAGTTATAGATATGCAGCGTGTGTATATATATGTGTGTGTGTGTGCGCGCGCACACAGCATTACAATTTCCATTTTTGTAGCTGCGCTTTCTTCCAAAGGGAGGCTTTCATTTATAATTGAGATTATGAAACAGCGTCAGAAAAAAAAGCCAGCGGTTGCGCTGCTCAAAGTCTTGATGCCTCGCCTTTGTTGCTCCAGGGCGGCTCATAATTGTGGGAAGTGTGACTAAGGAGGTTTAAGATATATATATGTATTTATATATGTATGTATTTCAAATGAGGCTCCAATCCGATTAGGTTTGCTGGGGAGGAAGCCTTTGTGTGCTGCTCAATGCCAACAGGGAAAAAAGGAAGCCCAAGATCCTGGTGTTTTCAATGGGAGAAACGTTGGTGCAATGGGTTGGCGCATTGGGGAGCATCACTCTCTCAGCCCCGTCATGACCCAAAACGCTACAGACCAATCTCCCTGTTGTGCTACCTCTACAAAGTTCTGGAGAGACTTATTTTGCATAGAATTACAGAAAAAATAGACCCCTGTCTGATTCTACAGCAAGTTTGCATAGAATTATGGAAAAAATAGACCCATGTCTGATTCCTTCAGGAAAGGCAGAAGCTGCACATCGCAAGTGCTGAACCTGACTCAGCACATAGAAGATGGCTTTGAAAGGCAGCAGATCACAGGAGCTGTCTTCATAGACCTGTCCGCAGCCTATGAGACTGTGAACCACCACCGCCTCCTCCTGAGAAAAATGTATAGTATCACAAAGGACGACCACCTCACCCGCCTCATAGGAAACCTGCTACAAAACAGGAGCTTCTTTGTTGAGTTCCAGGGCCAGAGAAGCAGATGGCGGAAACAGAAGAACGGCCTGCCTCAGGGGAGCGTGCTTGCTCCA